TAAAGTATGTTTTATTTTTTAATTCTGGTCTTGGTGCAAATGTTAGTTATGCCTTATTCATATCACAATTAGATCACCATGCTGTGACATGGTTTATATTCATGCTGCCCTAGATACTTTTGTAATTATTTGTTGCAAACTTGTGACTGTCCCTATTAACTTTCTTTTATGTAAGTACTTTATAAAAGTTTCTTAAACTTGTGCTTATTTAATTTTGAATAAAAGCTATATTCATAAAAAAAAAAAAAGAACTAAAGAGTTCAGCAAAGTTGCAGTACACAAGACCAATATACAAAAATCAATTGTATTTTGGGGCACCTGGGTGGCTCAGTCGTTAAGCATCTGCCTTCGGCTCAGGTCATGATCCCAGGTCCTGGGATCGAGCCCCACATCGGGCTCCCTGCTCTGCGGGAAGCCTGCTTCTCCCTCTCCCACTCCCCCTGCTTGTGTTCCCTCTCTTGCTGTGTCTCAAATAAACAAAAATCTTTAAAAAAAAAAAAAACAAAAACCAATGTCAGTACAGAAACTTGTATACAAATATTTACAGCAGCGTTATTTATAATAGCCAAAAGATGGAAACAACCTAAATGTCCATGAACACATGAACAGATAAACAAAACGCAGTATTGTCTACATGGAGTGTTATGCGAACACAAAAAGAATGAAGTACTGATACATGCTAGAATGTGGATGAACCTTGAAAACAGTATGCTAAGTGAAAAAAGCCAGGCATAAAATTTAGACCATATTGTATGGGTCAATTTATATGAAACATCCAGAATAGACAAACCTATAGAGACAAAAAGTAGATTACTGGTTACCTAACCCTGGGGAGGGCTGAGATGAAATGGGGAGGGCTGAGATGAAATGGGGAGCAACTGCTTTGGGACATAAGGTTTCTTTTAGAGGTGATGAAAATGCTCTAAAATTGACTGTCACAATGCTTGCACAGTATCTATAAATATACCAGAAACCAATGAATTGTACATTTTCAGTGGGTAACTTATTTGGTGTGTGAGCTATATCTTAATAAAGTTGTTAAAAGGGGCACGTGGGTGGCTCAGTCGGTTAAGCATCTGCCTTCGACTCAGGTCATGATGCCAGGATCCTGGCATCAAGCCCCACATTGGGCTCTGCTCAGCGGGGAGTCCCCCTCTCCCTCTGTGCTCTCCCTCCCTCCCTCGTTCTCTCTCAAATAAATAAATAGTTTTAAAAAAACAAAAAATTAAAAAAAAAATAAAGTTGTTGAAAAAGTATAATTCCCAAACTTCTTATCCAAAAACAAGAGAAATACTAACCAAATAAGGAAGAGTACCAAACAAAATGCAACTAAATATATTTTAAGTAATTTATATTTAATATAGATTTAATGCAACAGAACTTTAACATAAGTTTTTGAGGATCTTAAGAGTTATTCACGCGCACACACACAAAAATCAATGCTTTCCAAGTGAAATACAAAATCTATGGATTATTCACCAGTTTCTACTATTCATACTTACAGCTCCCTACATGAAAGAAATTAGTAAGAATGGCTTGTAAACTTAAAGCTTTCAAAATAAACCTCCATTCTTTTGAAAGTAAACAAAGAGTTAAAAACAAAACATATTACAATGGATACTTACAACAGATAATGCCTTCAAATTTTCTTCTTGTTTCATCTCCTGAGTAGTCACATTTGTGTTTGAGAGTGGATGTTCAACAACAGCTATGCCTATATCTGGTACATTCACAGTTATTTCAAGCTGTCAAAATGAGAAGTTTCATTATTTCATTTTGGCATACTACAGTCAGTAAAACAAAATGACTAAGTAAAATAGAGTGTTAAACTGAATAAACAACCCACATTCATACACAATTAAAAACTGAAATATAGTAACTCGACATCAACTTGGCAAAGTAAAACATTTAAGCTTTTGGAGGGGTCTGTGATCCTTACAAATAGTAAATAGAATTTCCAAAGTAATCTTCTTAGTACCTAGCATTTCACTTTCTACTATCCCCACTTTGTCTCTATGTTCCCATAATTTCTCTCAACAATCTGTGAATATTTATGGAGTGCTTCCTAAAAACTAGGCTACAGATACAAGGGTACAAAGCTGAAAAAAGGCAAGTTTGGTCCCTGCCCTCAAGGAATTCACAATCTCACAAAAACAGACATGCAATTACCTAACTATACACCATCTTCAGTGCTGTAATAAAGATGAGTTGAAAGCACTTTAAAAAGATTTACCATATTTCCGCCCCTGCACCAAGGCAACTACCCTCTCCCACAACCCCATGATAGCCATGGCAATGGACATGTAAAAAAGTGAATTCATTCACATTTACTCATGTAGTAGTCTTTTTGGTCATAGATCCCTATAATCTGGGGACTAAAGGACTAAGATTTATCTCCTAGACCGTATACAAGACAATCTGGCTTCTAGTCCCTTATTTACAGAGAGGTAAGTATAAAAAACTATGATTCAATAGAAAGTGAGTGAACAGTCAAGTATGAAAATCTGCCTTCATGATATAATTACTATAGTAACACTTGTGCATTCTGTATCTGTTTTTTCAGAAGCAAATACTAGAGAAAAATCTTTGCTACTATCCTATAGGCCAGGGATGAATGAGAAAGTTAAACTGACTTGAAAAAACAAAATATTTCCTGAAGAGTTGGGAATGGATGACAAATGGAAATACTGTAGATATTTGAAAGTTGGTTCTTTAAGGCACTATCCAGTTTCAAAGCTTTATTTTTTTTTAAAACAGCTTTATCGAGATAATGACTTACATACCAAGAATTCACCCATGTAAAGTGTGTAATTTGATGTTTTTGGAATATGCACAGATATGTGTAACCATCACCACAGTCACTTTTAGAACATTTTCGTCACTTCAAAAACGAACCCCATATCCGTTAGTTATCACTCTCTTAACCCCTCATCTCCAAATCCCTAAGCCAAACCACTAATCTACTTTCTGTCTCTACAGATTTTCCTGTTTGAGACATTTCATATGAATGGATAATTATGTGATTGTGTGATTCTTTTGCAACTGACTTCTTTCACTTAACAATGTGCCTTTCAACCAACGGAATTAGTAAAATACAAAACATATAGCTAAATGAATTATCATGCAGTGTTAACCAGGTGTCCTTACAAAAAATTAACTTTCCTTTTGCATTTTCTTGGTTTCAAATAAAACGTAAATGCACTATCTTCAACTCTGAACTTTCAGTTATAAGAAATTTCATTTTGCATCATTTTTATTTAATTTCAACCATTCTAACTCATTAACTTTATATCATCTAGTATGTGATTATTAACAGTGAATAAATAAAGGTGGTTGTGGACTTCCATTCATCATAAATGTGAAGTTATCAATAATCCATTAATTCTGGATTCAACATTACCTGAATTGGTTTAAGTTTCCTACTTCTTGTTATTATCATCACTACTACCTCAGTTAATTCCTAATTCTGTTGCAAATGACTCAGAAACAATCATAAATGCTTAATACAAAAGAGATGCAGTTGTGCTGCTTGTTAAGCCAAGTAAATTACTGAAAATTGAGGCAGAAACAAAGCTAGCATACTAGACCAAGAGGCAAAAAAGGAGCTCTTATAACAAAGTAAGTTGAAATATTATGTTCTTCCACCTCCTATCCATTAGGATGGCCATTCTGAAAAATAAATAAATAAAAGGGCTGGTGAGAATGTGGAGAAATCAGAACCCTTGTACACCACTGAAAGGAAGGTAAAATGATACAACTGCTATGGAAACAGTATGGCGGTTTTTCAAAATAGTAAAAATTGGTGTACAATTTACCATATAATTCAGTGACTCCACTTCTAGGTATATCCACAAAAGAATTGAAAATAGGGTTTAGAAGAGGTATTTGTACACCCATGTTTCATAGCAGCACTCTCTGCAATAATAGCCAAAAGGTGGCAGCAACCCAACTGTCCACTGACAGATGAAAAGATAAACAAAATGTGGTATAGCTACATGATTAAATACTACTCAACCTTAAAAAAAGACCATTCCAACATATGCTTCAATATGGATGAACCCTAAAAACTTTATACTCAATAAGCCAGTCACAATGAGGACAGATACTGTATGATTCCAGTTACATGAGTAATTACCTAGAGTAATCTCATAAAGACGAAAGTAGAATGGTGTTTGCCATAGGCAAGAGGGGAGGAGGTAATGGGAAACTATCATTTAATGGGTACAGTTTTAGTTCTGCAAGACGAAAAAAGTTCTGTGGATGGACGGTAGTGATGGTGTAGCACAACAATATGAATGCACTTAATGTCGCTGAACTACACTTAAAATGGCCAAGATAATAAATTTTACGTGTATTTTACCAAAATTTTTAAATGTCCCTTCTACATTCTCTACTAACCAGCCTCAGCCTATCAGAGAGTTAACAGAAAACACCTGCCAAAATTAAAAAGAAAAATTAATCAGAAAGTAGATTAAGCAGCCTCCACATACAAATGAAATTAGATTTCCATCCTTATTATTACAATGACTACCTCATGGTGGGCCTGGGTCACAGAGGTTAAATAATCACAGGAGGCTCCTTCTACTGATTCCGTCAGATATCCCTCAGGTCTCAAACAAACTACATTTGGTAGAGGCTATTCACAGAACGAACTTTTCAAATCTTAATAATCACTAAGAAGAAACAATGATACACTAAAAGAAAAAAACAAGACAGAGTTCTCAGAATTCAAAAAACAAACTACCTCTTCCATCGTTTCCTCGATCTGAGCAGAAACAGGTTCGGGAGACCTGAGACCAATGGGAACAAACACTGGAGCTTTGTTTACTTCTTCTGGAGCAAGATGGTAACTTTCGTCTTCATAATCAGGCTCAAAATCTTCATCATCATCTTCATCTTCTTCCTGCGAAGCCCGAAGAGTCACCAGCGTGGCCTTGGAAGCTCGAGGTTCCTTCTTAGAGGTCTTACTTCGAACTCGTTTTGATCCACGCCCTCTGGTGACACTTGGTTTCATCTTGCGATGCATTCTCCTCCCGCTATGATCCACCTCACACTCAGAAGCAGAAGAGACAGTTGCTCTTCGATCCAGACCAATTTTAGAGTAATTTGATTCTTTTAACAGCTGTGGAGAGCTGGATGTTTAATCAAAATAACAATTTAGTCATTACATGCACAAGGAGGATATTTTAATGAAACCAAAATTTCAGAATGAAATCAAACTTCAAGCCATTAAAATGAAAATGCCCACAACCCATAATGTTAAAAACTTACTCTGTGAAATGAAGAAAGAAATGTACTATTACTACTAGTTTCTTATTCAGAGTTCATTCTTAGTTATCTACCTACAAATTTTTCAGAGTAAGTTAATTCTGGGCCATTTTTTCCTTGCTATTTAAGTGAAAATGAGATACAAGACTGGAAATTATTAGAAGAAAATGAGAAAAGGAAAATGGTCCAGTAAAACAAAATGAGCTCAAAAAGAAGTGATACTACTGGGTAAACAGACTAGGTTAAAATAAAGAAAGGAAGGCAAAAAATCCATCAGAACAATGTCGTTTTCTAGAACTTAAGTTCTTTTCCACTCTCCTTAAAAACTATAGAACATGAGTACCCTTCAGTTGTATTTGTGACCCCACTTGAACTAGCACTTTAATTATTTAGGTAATAGATACTACTTTTTGGTCAGGCTTCTGCTCATGTCTAATATACTCAACATCCAGAAGTTTTAACTGTAGGAAAGAAAAATCTTCCTAAGAACATCAGTAAAAGGTAAACTTTAGTAAATAAAAATCCTAAGTGGGAAAGGAACAGACCTGTAATTAACAAACAATCTACACTTCTGTTAACAAACCATCTTTTTACTCTACAAATAAGTTATGGCAGGACATCCATAATAGGTTATTTTTATTTCTTATTCTGAAAGTATTTGTTAAATAAAACTTTACCTTGATAGTTTACTGAGACACTGCTCTTCAGCAACTGAAGACACAGATTTATCCCCTACAGTTTTTTCTCCAACGCTTCCTGATGGTCCAACTTCTGAATGAGCATTGTTTTTGGCCAAACTAGCCTCTGTGGAATCTACACAATCTTTTCTTGCTGAAACCTCCAAAGATGTCAGAAACTCAGCCTTTTCCTTAAATTTAAGAAGAAACAGCTAATATTACCATGGAAACTTACACACACACACACACACACACACTGACTGGTTTCTAACTTTTTTTTTTTGAAGATTTTATTTATTTATTCATGAGAGACAGAGAGAGAGAGAGAGAGAAGCAGGCTCCCAAGGAGCAGGGAGCCCGATGCAGGACTCGATCCCAGGACCCTGGGATCACGACCTGAGCCGAAGGCAGACGCTTAACCATCTGAGCCACCCAGGCGCCCTGGTTTCTAACTTTTTATAATACTAGAAAGTCACTCAATTTTTATAAAATTGGTTACAGTACAAAAGACAAAACTGTATTTTTTAAAATTCTCTCCTTCATGATCTTGACAAAACAGAGCCCATTGAGAAAAAGTGTTTTTTTCAAACTTACTTTTTGAAGGAGATGAGTGTCAGAATCTCCTGGCTGCAGCAAATTATCTTCTGGCTTCCTTGCCTCACTCTGATCTGCTCTGTCTTTTTCTATGCCTGGTTCCTCTTTCTTACCATGTGCTCTTCCCAAATTTGGCTTAGCCTTTTGGAATTGTCTTCTTACCAAATGTGCTGGACTAGGAACAGACCTTTTAGGTTCATGTCTAGAATGAAGTACAAATCATGATGAAAAACCAAAATCAGAATTCCTTATTGATAGGACAGCTGTTACATCAAACAATTTGAACACAAACCAATAATATGTTCAAAGGACTATATATAAATTGGCTTTAAAACCAAACACATAAAATGAAACCACACATGCTGATAAAAAGAATGTAAAAGCTTTTAAAATTTCCATTTTCTGGACAGTCTGGAAAATAGTTTTCGGTAATATTAATCTTTTTTTACTTTATTCATTGATTCTGGTGTGTAGTGTCATGGTACTTGAAGTAATTTTCAGAGTGATAACTAGATACAAAAAAAATGCCAGTAGTTGAACCTGGATTTCATAATGGTACTTTAAACAAATATCTTCAACTGGGCTCTGAAGCATGAACAAATATACAATGGTCACAACATCCTTGGTCCTTCTGGTTCAAGACCAGACTTAAAAGCCAGAGTCCGTCCTCCCATCACAGACCTGTCAGTTTATGGAAAAGGGTTTACTGACAGCCAGTGTCATAGGATCTCAATATAATGATTGTGTATCTGCCAAATCAGAAAAAGACAAGGTTTAACGTTCAACAGAGTAGGTATAGCTCCCAAGAGAACCCCTGAAGAGCTATCTTAAATTTTCCTGGAAAATATTTTAATAACTGGCAAGGATCTGAATTCTGAATTGGGAAGTTTAAAACTAATATAAACCTGGATATTATAAAGAAAATTAGGTATATAAGTATCTATCAGGAGTTCTCTGAAAGATCTATATTAAAGGCTAATCTTAAGTAATATTTCTAATAAATTACTTAGTTACATTTCCAAATGTTCCAACTCTGCTAAGCTCTTCTGGCAGCGAAACACCAAAGAAGTTCACAGGAAATCCTAACAAGGTTATGATGCTGGCTAAATACATTCCAATGTAGGCCGATGTATTTAGGAAAATAGATTATATTTAATGTAAGCTATTTACAGTCAAGTGTGATTATACAAAAGCAAGTAAAAATAAAATACATATATGAACCTAACGTGCTACTTGAGTCAAAAAGAGACAAGACAATACTGGACTTAGAAATAATCTAATTTTAAAACTATAAAGATTTTTACTCTGAAGAAAGTATCACTCATGATAAAGTGAACAGATGGAATAAATTTCATGAATAGAAAAAGGTTTTTCAAAAGAAAAAAAGGGGGGGTAGGGTGGGGTGGAGCGTGGGTTTCCATAAAGAAATTAAAAGTTTGAGGGGCGCCTGGGTAGCTCAGTCGGTTGGGCGGCTGCTTTCAGCTCAGGTCATGATCCCAGGGTCCGGGGATCGAGCTCCACATCGGGCTCCCTGCTCAGCAGAGAGCCTGCTTCTCCCTTTCCCTCTGCCTGCCGCTCTGCCTACTTGTGCTATCTCTCTGTCAAATAAATTTTAAAAAATCTTTAAAAAAAAAAGAAATTAAAAGTTTAATTTCTCTCATAAAAAACACAAAAGTTCAGCATAAAATCTCCTGAAACATGTAAAGTTTCTTTCATTCAGGAAGGTCTGCTTATATAACTACACAAATCTGCTAGTCTGAAAGTCATAAATCTGAAAACTTAAGTTTAAAAACTAATTTGCCAATGTTATTTTGAACAAGCCATTCCAATCCTCTTGGTCTAGCTAGTCAATTATAAATGAGAGCATTAGGAAAGGCTGACCTTGAAGGTCACTAGTCTTTAAAGGCTCAGTAGAATCAAAATCAAATTCCTTACAATGGTCCTATATAATCTGCCATTCTCCCTGGTCAGCCTTTACCCTTTCCTACATCTGCTACTCCCTCTCTTTCCCCGTTTCATACTAGCACCCTTCACTGTTCCTCAAACAAGCTAGGCATGTTCTTTCCTTAAGTACTTTCGAGCTGCTGTTCCCTCTCCCCTTAAACATCCCCTGCGCCTGCTGTTCCTTCACTTTTGGGTCTTCTCTCTAGTGGTACCCTTGCAATGAAGCAGTCTTAGATCACTGCTAATCAAAATGTAGTATTAAGGTGCCTGGGTGGCTCAGTTTCGGCTCAGATCATGATTTCAGGGCCATGAGATCAAGGCCTGCATGGGGCTTGGTGCTCAGAGGGGAGAATGCTTGAGATTCTCTCTCCCTCTCCCTCTGCCCCTCTCCCTGCTCACTCACACACATGCACCTATATGGGCTTGCTCTCTCTCTAAAATAAACAAATCTTTTTTTAAAAAAAAGTAGTATCAGTAATAATAAAGCAGATTATAAGTAATAAAAGTGGTAGAGTACTGAAGTATCTTCACCTTTCTAGTCTAACTCATTTAAAAGATACTATTCTTAGCATTTGGTTTGGGACACAATTCTAAATATAGCATATACTAAGTACCTGGTAGCAATTCCTATTTATGAATTTTAGTCAATAGGATATAAATTTCTAAATATACAAAGAACTTAAGAACTTCTGTCTAGTATTAAATTTTGGTTTTGTTTTGTTTTAAAGATTTTATTTATTTATTTGACAGTAAGAGAGAGAGAGCACAAGTAGGCTGAACAGTAGAGGGAGAGGGAAAAGTAGACTCCCCACCGAGCAGGGAGCCTGACGCGGGGCTGGATCCCTGGATCCTGGGATCATGACCTGAGCCAAAGGCAGATGTTTAACCATCTGAGCCACCCAGGTGCCCCTAAATTTAGTTTTAAAATAAAAAATGAGGAGGCTCACCAAACTTTGAGGAGAAATTATATATTAAGAGAGTATCAATCATGCAATTCTTACAGCATTTAAAGAAGCATATTTAAAATATTCTATTTCATAATTACTGCTTTATCCTTCCACAAACTTTTTTTTTTAAAGATTTTATTTATTTGACAGAGAGAGATACAGCGAGAGAGGGAACACAAGCTTAATGACTAAGCCACCCAGGCGCCCCTTCCACAAACTTTTCTTGATGTCAAGTTATTCAAACTTTATCTTTAGAAAATTTTACACTTTTCTGATTAAAAGCAAACTCACCTCATCTTTTCATCTAAAACATTTATTTTGTTAAGATGAAGAGGTTCTACAAGAACCATGTGACTCTGGTTTTCATACTGTGACTCTGAAACTTTGGAGGATACAACTTCAATTTCAGTTCCAACTGGAGAATTTGGCTAAAATGACAAAAGAAAAGTAGCATTTTTTTAAAATAACTGAACACACCTCCTAAAATATTTCAATCATTTAGAAAGGTATTGAGTTCTTCAAAAGTAAGAGTCAAACTAGGTATGCAATGTTCACGTTTTGCTGTCCAAAATAAAACTAATTCAGAGAAAGTTTCAATTATTGCAATTATTATGTTTACAGAACACTTTAAAAACCAAATAATTATCTGTTGTGAACACAAACCGCCCCCCCCCACCCCGCCACCAAAAAAGTTTAATGATTTTTTTCCCAAAAAGTCTAATGATTTCTTCTGGGGATAGGGATGTTTCAAACAAGGATTACAATCGCTTTCAATCTAGATTTTCCCTTGGTAGACAGAGAAACAGAAGAACAAAGAAACAAGATCTGTTGAAAAGGGCATTACACTACTTAGATTTATGCCAAAAGATACATCAATAAAAGATTGGTTAAACTGTCAAACAGCAGAATGTTATGCAACAATGAAAAATGATGTATCTCCATACTTCTTGACATATAAAAAGTCACTTAATAAGTAAAAATAAGTCACAAAATAACATGTACACAATGACTTTACTATTTAAAAAAATTATTTTATGGGGGCGCCTGGGTGGCTCAGTCGTTATGCGTCTGCCTTCGGCTCAGGTCATGATCCCAGGGTCCTGGGATTGAGCCCCGCATCGGGCTCCTTGCTCCGCGGGAAGCCTGCTTCTCCCTCTCCCACTCCCCCTGCTTGTGTTCCCTCTCTTGCTGTGTCTCTCTCTGTCAAAAAATGAATAAAATCTTTAAAAAAAAAAAAAAATATTTTATGTTTCAGTAATCTCTACACCCTTTGTGGGGTTTGAACTTACAACCTGAAGATCAAGAGCTGCATGCTCTACCACCTGAGCCAGCCAGGTGCCCCAGAGATTTTATTATTTAAGTTTACATAAGTGTACACACATGCATGCATGGATATACCCAGTAAGATATGTCAGAAGGTTTTCAGTAGTTACCTCAAGGTAATAAGACTGGAGTAGTCATTATGATATTTTGTATTAATTGAACATTTTCATAATGAATACGTACAATTAGTTAGGGAAAAAAAACTATTTTCAATTAAAAAAAATCCAGAACGGTAAATCTGGAACAGAACTAGATATGTTACATATTCATTGATGAGAGTGTCAGATGCCTATATTCTAAACCCAGTCTGAGCTGTCATTTCATATTTTAACATGCATTAAAAGGCTCAATTACATAACAGTAACTCACCAGAGTCAAGAACTTTTTAGTTTCATCTTTTTGTACTATCGTTCTTTCTTCCTTAATTATGCCTTCAGCTTCACCTTTTTCTATTTGCCTCTGTCCAGTCTTTCTTATGTTTGGTCTGGGTCTCTGAAATCGGCTCCTTACTGTTTGAGCAGTTGGGATAACGCTTTCCTTCACTTCTTGCTGCAAAGTGTTTGTATTATGAGCCCTAGAAGAGAGGACAAAGAGAAAGAGAGGGAACTGGACTGTAAAAAGATGAAAACAAATGTAAAGACATAAAAATTGAACCTTCTCTAACAAACTATAAAAAAATTTTGTATCATTTGAGGAAAATCAAATTACTTTGATGATAAATATATATTCTTTTATTTTTAAAAAAATAGCTATTGGGGCACCTGGGTGGCTCAGTCATTCGTTAAGTGTCTGCCTTCAGCTCAGGTCATGATCCCAGGATCCTGGGATAAAGCCCTGCATCGGGCTCCCTGCTCAGCGGGAAGCCTGCTTCTCCCGCTCCCACTCCCGCTACTTGTGTTCCCTCTCTCGCTCTCTGTCAAATAAATAAATAAATTCTTTTTTTAAAAAAAGAGCTATTTTAATCATCAAAAGGTAATGAATTTAAATAAGGTACCTAGAAGATTCAAATTCATGGAGACAGAAAGTACAAAGGTAGTTGCCAGGGAATGAAAGAGGGGAATGGGGTGGTCTTGTTAATGGGTGAAGTTTCAGTTGGGAAGATGAAAAAGTTCTGGAGATATATGTGGTAACTGTTGCAAAACAATGTGAATGCACATTCTTGTGAATGTGCATTAATGCCACTAGACCATATACATAAAAAATGGTTAAAACAGTAAATAAGTCTTCTACTACAATTTTTTTTGTAAAGATTTTATCTATTTATTTGACAGAGAGAACACAAGCAGGGGGAGTGGCAGGCAGAGGGAGAGGAAGAAGCAGACTCCCCACTGAGCAGGGAACCCAAAGCGGGGCTCCATCCCAGGACCCCGGGATCATGACCTGAGCTGAAGGCAGACGCTTAACTGACTGAGCCACCAGGCGCCCTTCTACTATAGTTTTTAAGAAGATAATGAATACAATCTTTATATACATGTATTTTTAAATGCAATGGTTTGTATAAAGCCTTAAGCAGCTAATAGTGAATACACGCAGGCAAGCATTAAAAGGTGTTAACTCAATGTGATTTTCTATTTTAGGCAGTCTGACACATGAATAAAAATAAACCAAGTATTCTTGGGGCGCCCTGGGTGGCATAGTTGGTTAAGCATCATACTCTTGGTTTCGGCTCAGGTCATGATGTCAGGGTCATGAGATCAAACCCTGCATAGGGCTGTGTGCTCAGCGTGGAGTCTGGTTAAGACTCTCTCTCCCTCTCCCTCTGCCCTCCTCCCTGAGCACTCTCTCCCCCTCTCTCAAATAAATAAATAAAT